AATTTCATAAGCAGGTGGAAACTGAACAACATACTTCTGAATAACCAAGAGATCAAAGAGGAAATAAAGAAATCAGACAGTTCCCTCAATTAAATGACAATGACAATACAACACATTGGAATCTATGGGACACAATGAAAGCACTCTTATGAGGGAAATTCATAGCGGTGAAAGTAGGAAAACAGCGAGAGCAATTAAACAACCCGAGCTGAACCTGAAGCTTCTAGAAAAAGAAGAGCAGGACAAATCCAAAGCTCATACAAGGGAGGAAATTATAAAGATCAGAGCAGAAATCAATTCAATGGAGACTAAGAGAACGATACAAAAAAATCAATGAAGCCAAGAGTAGATTCTTCAAAAGAAAAAACAAAACTAACAAACCCTTACCCAACCTTATCAGAAAAAGGAAAGAAAAGGCCCAAATCCACACAATTAGGAAGGAAAAGGGTGAAATTACAATGGACTCAGCAGAAATCCAGAGGATCATCAATACCTACTTCCAGAACCTATAGGCCAATAAGACGGAAAACACAGAAGAAATGGACTGATTCCTAGATACATATGAATTACCAAAGTTGAAGAAGAGCTAAAAATTCTAAACAACCCAATATCAATCAATGAAATTGAAAGTGTAATTAAAAATGTACCAATTAAGAAATACCCGGGTCCTGATGGCTTCACTGCTGAATTCTATTAGACATTTAGAGAGGAACTACTGCCACAAGTATTTAAGCTCTTCAATGAAACTGAAAGGGAAGCAATACTGTGGAATTCATTCCTGTAGGCAAGCATCACCTTGATCCCCAAAGCAGAGAAAGACTCAACCAAAAAAGAGAACTATAAGCCAATCTCACTAATGAACACAGATGCAAAAATCCTCAATAAGATGCTGGCAAATAGAATGCAGAAGATCATCAAGAAGATCATACATCCTGACCAAGCGGGATTCATCCCAGGGATGCAGGAATGGTTCAACATATGCAAATCAATAAATGTAATACACTATACCAATAGAGCCAAGGACAAAAACCATATGATTATTTCAATAGATGTAGAAAAAGCATTTGACAAAATTCAACACACATTTATGATAAAAACTCTACAAAAAAATTGGAATAGACAGTCTCTACCTCAATGTGATAAAAGCGATCTATGAAAAACCAACAGCCAATATCATACTAAATGGTCAAAAACTGAAATCCTT